CCACTAGAGGTTCACATATACGTCGTTCTTTAGTTTCTACCACTCTTACTTTCCTCATTGCTTGTTCCGGGATGACGATTTCTCCGGAAGCGTTACGACATAAGAGGCTTGTGGTTGATCCGGGGTCTTCGGTCGAGTATATGTCACATATTAACCAAGTGTTACCCGATCCCTCCCTTGAGTGGAGCTGGTAGGCAGAAGTGGGGATGTTTTCAAACCATCGTGTTGCCCAGTCTCCTGTTCTCCACTCGCATGTGCCCTTCGGTAGCTCATGCCATCTCTCTAGTACTGCGATTAGGATGTTGTTCAGGTTAGCTTGTAGATTGTGGCATCTCCTCAAGGTTTCCCTTAGTTCTCCTACCGTTTTCCATCTCTTGTCTGAATCTTGCTAAAGGTGTTTGATTTGCCACACTCCCTTTTCTAGCCAAGTCCCCCACTTTGTGTCCTTTGGGGTTAGGGTCCATGGTTTCCCGTGTGCATCCAGCAGAGCTTGGTTACAGAAGATCGGTTGCCTAAGGACTTCCTCTTCAATTGTTAGTTCTCTTACTTTGGCTGGTAGAATTTCCCTCCATGTTTTAATAGTTGCCTTCAAAAGTTCTCCCCTTGTTCTTCTTCCTGGTCCCCTTGGTGTTATGCTTGCGCCCCGCCCTTCATAGCCCAGGACTTACTCATGATCCAGAAGAGACCACTCATGTTGTCAAAGGTTTTGTATTTGGCTATGCGGAGGCCTAGCTTGCTCCAAGGTAGGTTGTTATTGGTTATCATTTTGATGATCCACTTCGTTTGAAGAGCTTGGATTTGAGTTTCCTAGTCCAGGATTTTCAATCCCCCTTGCGATCTCTTCAGGGTGATGTACTTCCATGACACTTCAGAGATGAAATTGTCTCTAGACGGCCGCCAGTCCACAAATAGACAGCCGCTCTTCTTCTGAGTTGAGATCTTCGCTGATTAGGTGGGCTCCAAATCGTGGCAGTGTACCACATCATTGCAAAAATTGATGCATTAAGGATCGGGGCTCTGCCAAATATTGAGGTGTAGACATTGAACCAACTGCCCAATTTAGCAATCATCTTGTTCATTATGGTTGGCGTCATTGTTTGGTTAGTGCCATGCTTGGAAACTTGGATTCCTAGAAATCTGAGGGGTTCGTTGCCATGTGACCAGTTCATTCCTACCGGTGTACTTTAAGGGGGGTCAGTTTGTGGGTCTGTTAGCCACCAGCTTATTGTTTTGGGCCAGTTAATTCTCATTTCTCATGCAATTTGGAAACTTTGCATGGCYCGAGTGAGGGYTTGAAAGGAAGAGTCTGAGGCTCGTATTAGGACTGTCAATTTGTGTCAAATCGTCCGCGAAGAGAATGGTAGTGGGTATGCTGATTGGGTGTTGTCCGCAGTCTACCAGYCTTTCGATCGAAGGGCCTTTTCTTAGGAAGGAGGCAATCCCTTCCATGATGAAGAGAAAAATTGGGGCTGCTAGCGGGTCTCCCTGTCTCATTGAGCGGGACATTCGGTATGGTTGTGATAGCTGGCCTTTGACCTGTACTTGTCCGTGTTTCCATACTTGTCATTTTCTTGTTTGATGCTTTTTGCATTGCTGCTGTTTTGACTCGCTACCTTGTGCTGTTGTCTGCACACCCGCCTCTCCCATAGCCTCCAGTCTATGTGTTCGCTCGCTGCTTTTGGCTTTGCTGCCTTTTACCTGGCTGCTTGTTTTCTAAACCAGCAGAAACTGGTGAAACCAGCAGAGTGATTGTCTCTCTCTTGAGGGTAAAAGTGGCCAGTGACATATGTGTCGCTCTCTTGAGGGAACCGTGCAACCACTAGTGCCTCCACGTTTTTAGGCCGTTAACGCGGTGGCTGAATTGGTGTGCCGCGCGGGTCCATATGCATTTGCGTCAGAGCCTCCCCAGAGGGGGCTGAAGACCCCCTGGGGTACTGATGATTTAAACCACCAGTGCCTCAGCCATATATCGGCCGTGGGCCCGTGGCGAAAGATAGCTCCGCGACGTTGCAGCTTCGTTTGGCCCAGCCTGTCATGGATCGTTTACAGCCGCGACTTTTGGAGGTACTGGTGGTTTAAGTAAGAAGTGACCAGTGACATCGGTCGCACAGTATGCAGAGCCTGGTATACATATTGGAAAACACACATGCCATCCATGAACGTGCTGCTGCCTGCATGTGGTTGTTTTAACGAGTGGGAACATTCTTTTCCAAGCTGGGCGGCCCACCAGACCAAAAAGAGGGGGGCCTTCCTGTATCAGCAGGGAGGAAAAAATGTGTTCTTTAACTTCTTTTTGCCATCGGCATTTCTTCTTCCATGAACGAGTTTTGTTTTCATTCTTGGACTTTTTTTTTTTTTTTTAAGATCTCCGCGTGATCTATGGTCCTGATTTTTTCCCTCACAATGTTTTCGGTCATAACCAACTTCTAACTTCTCTCTCTCTTTTTTTTTTTTTACCAACTTCTAAGTTCAAACCCTGTTGTGAATGGGCAAAAACACACAGGAAAGCATGCTGCACAACATGGACAGGGCAACATATAGTGAAGTAAAGMAGGCAGGCAGCTTGACAAGCAGGTGGGCAGGCAGGTGKGGTAGTMGACACACAACAACAGTWACAAGTTACAACACAACTCRGCACTCAAAATAGGATGCATTGGACAACACATAGCAAGACACAACAAAGCAGAGAAGCAGCACAATGAAGCAAACCAGCAAGGCAGGAGGGGAACAAAGYCGAAARGCACCAACGGGAGCCAGGCAAAAAGGCATCAAGGCAAGGCAAGTAGCAGGGGGCAGCACAGCGAGCGGCAACGGAACATGGTTGCAAGGCAAGCAGCAGAACAGCAAAGTGAGCACAAAGGGAACAAGGCAGCAAGGCATCAAGGTACCAAGGAAGCAGASCAAGGCAAGCAAAAGCCTAGCTCAGTTGGTAAGGCTCGCAAGTGGCATTCAGGATGTCGTGGGTTCAATCCCCATTGGCGTCATGTACCTTCCCCGGCATGCTTGGCGCCCGCCACCTAGAGATAGACCACTGGATCCCCCGATCGGCATTGAGCAGAGTCTGTTGACGTTCGTTGGGAAGGGGATTGGCCCTGTTGGCATGGTCCCTGATGCTACCGGCTGTCCCCTCGCCGGTATCGCCCACCTGCACGTCGGGAGAAGCTCCCCCATGTTCTCTCGTGAACACGGTTCTGGCTGCTACAGGGTTCCCCGTATGACCATTATTAGGAGTAGTGGTATGTAGGTAGCGTGAGGAGGTGAAATTGAGAAAGAATGTAGCTTACTTAAAAATAATTGAAAAAAAAAGCAACACGGCAGCGAGGTAAGGCAACCAGCAGAGCAGCACAGTGAGCAACAAGTGAACAAGACGCCGGACTGCAAGGCAAGCCGGCAGGCGGGACGCTAACACAGCAAGACACGCAGCAATATAGGAACCCATCGACGCAGCCAGGAATGATGTGGATTATCACCTACTCAGTGCTCACATCATATGGAAAACCCAGCAGAATGTGAGTTCACATCACCATCAAGAGCCCCGGCGCAAACCGGTGATTCAATGTCTATCCCAAGCAGAAAACACGGAGACACAGGCATCCAGACACACTGCTGGCCCCTATATAGTCTGTGCAGGCCCTCGGTACAAAAGCACACCAACTCTTTGGCACAACTTCAAGGTACCATCTTCACCCGATATAACGCCCAGACTGAAAGTCGCCCTATATACAGCTATAATGACCGGGCGTTATATTCCGGTGAAGACGGGAGTCGTTCGTACTACGAAAAAAAGTGGGACAGACTACTCCATGTTCGTTACACACCTCTACAAAAAAGCCATGGCTGTGGCCTGACCGTCTGCCCAATGTGCATCTGATGGATGAATAAGGACTCACTTCTCCCAGAGTTAGCGATACCCCTAAGAGAGAAAAGTGGAGGACTTTACTCACACTGGCCCTGCAATCCCAGCAGACTGTCGGGCCCCACAAGAAGAAAAGTAAGTCAGAGATCATGGCTGTGTATGTGATTTCTCCCGTTGTGCATTTGTCTTTCTCTCCGCACGACTGACCGTGGTCTTCATGCTCTCTTTTCTTAGCCTCGCCCCTCCCTACCAATCTCTCCCCTCCACACACCTAACTCTCCTCCTCCCTACTGGTCTCCACCGCTCCCTACCAATCTTGGCCCCAGCCCCCGCTCACCAATCTCCAACCCTCCATATCCCCGCCCGCCCCCCACCTCTCCTCTTTGATGGTCCGTTCTGACTTGGTAATTGCAAGAGCCATAAACACTTTCTTCAGCCCAGGGTGAAAAGAAAAGGGTCCATGCAATTCTGTCCAGGGTGAAAATTGATAGGGTGAAGAGGCACTTCTGTCTCCACAGCCTTCCTATCCGCTCAGTCAATCCCCCTGGGTATCCTGGGGTAATCAATGCCGGCGGACTGCTCTGGAACCATTCTTGTGGATGATCTTGTTATACAGGGACGTTGGACCCGGTTTCCAGCAGGTGCAGCTCCCCACCAATAGATGGAGCAGCCAGGGACAGCAGCTAGAGGCGGCTGCTCTTATCACCCCCTCTAGTAGTGGTCGCTGGTTTTCCTGTTAAAAAAAAGAAAAAAAGGTAGTGTTTTCATGATGACGTCAACGGGTAAACATTCATAAACTCGCTAATCCATCGTTGTCCCACTCACGCTGGCATGGAATTCCACGTACGGTATGGCTTTTACGATGATGTCATTATGCATACATACACCTCAACAAAAGACAGCCATTTCGTTAAAATGGACATTTTATACTTTTCGAATGAAACTGAAACTGACTTATTTGGCCCGAAAATGTCACTCTTTTTTTTTTTTTTTTTTAAAACAGGCCCAGTGCCCAAGGCTGATATTACCAATAATAAGATTGGGGCCGGGGTTAGGGTCTGAAAACGGGACCCTCAGAAGCTTTTTGTGTCACATTTTTCGGGCCAAATAAGTCAGTTCCAATTTCGTCCGGAACTTCAGAAGACATAAAATGTCCATTTTACTATGATTTTGGTGAAATGGCTACCAGTACCTTTCTCAGCGATCGATGCCCAGCCTAAAATCAGCCTGCCCTTGACGACAGAGAGGACATACATTGTAAGGATGAGGTGGACGAACACACGGAAGACCAAACTCAGTGTTCTCAGTACTGTTATTACCAGGACGGCTGGCATTGAGCATGCCCACGATAGTACTATACACTCCCTATATATTTGCAAATGTGATAGTGTCCTCTTCCTCGACACTTCTGGAAATCACCACTCACATTTCATAATCCCATTTATCATCAGACTGTGTCATAATCGTTCTTGGTCTTGAAGATGACCAGCGCAGTGGCAATCCGGACTGCGGCCTTGCCGGCTACGATTGCTGCAGCACTCTGCAATCATCGCCACGACCACCTGGTGATTCAGTTGAAATCGATGAGGAGGAGGAGGAGGAGGAGGAGGAGGAGGAGGAGGCTTCTTCTCCTTCCCTTGTTTCCGTCCCAGAGAGGAAGGATCCAAGCAAATGACAGTGCCAAGGATATCGATGACATCAACAGACCTGGGTGCGCCAAGGATATGGATGAGGACGATTGCATCGCGAGATTGTTTGACCGTGTTTCAGCCATCGCTGCACCCAGGTCTTTCTGTTGACGTCATCAACGGCGATGGTACTTCATCACCATGATTCCTGCTGATGGTGGTAGACAAGCTCGGTTTCTCCATCTTTGCCGCCAGAGGTTCCTCTTCCTCGGTGGAAGTCAATGGCGATGGTGCTCCGTCGCAGTGATCACTGCCACCGGTGCTGGCCGAGAAGCTTGCTCTCTCCGTCTCCACCAGAGATTCCTGTCCTTGGCCACCCTCTTGTGACAGCGATTTAGTTGACGCCATAAAAAACGGCGATGCAGTTGATGCCCTCAACAACAATTCAGTTGATGTCATAAAAAAAGGCGATTCAGTGGACGTCAACAATGGCGATGCTGCTTCCTCACCATGATTCGTGCCAGGGGCTGACAGGCTTGCTCTCTCCATCTCCGCCGGTGATTCCTCTTCTTTGGCGCACCTCCGTGATTGTGATGTTGGCAATGGCTGCGCCGAGGGGGATGCTGCAGAAGAAGAAGTAGAACAAGACTCCTTCGTTGGCAGGGGGTGCTGGAGGTGGTCGAGGCCATTGCCACCTCTGCCAGCGGTTTCATTCATCTCAGCTGTTGACGTTGACGTCAACACTGGCGCTTCCGGGCCATTGCTCCGTCCTGCCAGAGCTTCCGAGCCATCATTATTCCTTGTCGCCATCGCCTCCGTCAAGCGTGCTTCCACCATCTCCAAGGGATCCTCTTCACCTTCCCTAGGCGGGTATCAAGCGAGCATTCGGCGAGCACTAATTAGATCTGGTGGATCATCCTGCAAAACGTACTCCGGGTCGTCATCATCATCATCATCATCATCCTTGTCATCACCATCAGAAGAGGTGAAATCTGAGCCACCGTTTTTCACAGGCATCGGATGTCGAGGGGATAAGCCCAAGAGCACACGACGTTTCTCCGAGCTTTCTTTTCTCCACATTCGCATAGCAAACATCTGTCGTCTCTGTTTCTCCTCCTCCATAGCTTGCAAGTTTGCAATGGCCTCCCTTTCCGCCTCCACCCCTCCTCTTGCCCATGCCTCCGCTCTCAACCGCTCGTTCTCAAAGACAGGTCGGTCGTCCAGGTACTTCAGTTGCRGTAAAGATGACACGACRACCTTCCGGTAATGGCCCAGAGAGGACACTAGTGGATTTCCCTTGAGATAGAGGACCGCAAGGTTCGGTAGTGTACGTAGGATGCCCAGAACTCCCWGACCATCTTCCAGTTTGTTGTCTGCCAAATCCAACACATGGATAGATGGGCAATGCACAAGGTGCTGAATGGCAGCCACTGTTCTTAACTGATTACTGGCCACCAGCAAAGTGGATAGCTTTGTCAGATTAGACAARTTCTGCAACGCGGAGATGCAGTTGTTGCTGAGATTAAGAGTGTCAAGTTTAGTCAGATTGTCCAAGTGGTCAATGGAGTCGATGACGTTTTGCTGAAAGTACAAGCATCGAAGTTCAGTCAAATTTTCTACGCCGCGCATGCTCTCAATTGCATTTCCCTCAAGGAATAAAGTCTTAAGACCTGTGTAGGCGTCCAAATTTTGTACAGATGCAAAACCCTTGAAATGAAGATAGAGTGTGTCATTCAACCATGGAGTGGAGTACAGTT